TAAATAATACGTATTTTAGTTAGAAGTAACTTAAATAATTTACAACTACGTAAATACATTCGATTTGCTCTGTTTTGCGAGAGGTCGAAATAAACAACGTTTTTTTAAACAAACTATCATTAAAGCTTTGTTTTTATTGCAGTTTTTATCTAATAGACATGTAAATTTACATTGATCCGTTTTATTTTTAAGCGGTTGATAAAAATATTCATCAAACAAAAACCGACTTTTAATTAAGCTGTTTGAATTAAATGCGGAAGAAGAAAGCGGTTAATATAAAATCTGATTCAATATAGTTAACGTTTATTATCATTATATTTATTCACAATAATGACGGCGATCAAAACTTTGTTATATATTTTATAGAAAACAATAATTCATTGTGAATTTTCGTAAGATAACTGTGATTTTGATAGTGTATTTGATGATTTAGATGCTAAACGATCCAGTTTTTTTTTCATCTTCATCACGAACAACAAAGAGAAGTCGCGGCAGTTGAAATACGTTTTATGATACATTAAATTTACGATTGTGAGATAGTCGGTGAGATGTAAATCATAGAGGCATCGGCGTGCCAACTTCGCGATCAAACGATTAAAGCGTTGGCAAGTAATACGCAGAAAACATCTTCACTAGGTATCCCGTTGTTCGCGGCCGTCGATAGATCGTGTTACGAAAACATGTTAATTTAAATCTATTGGCAGTATTTGATTGTAGGGAAACGTATATTTAACCTTTAAGATCATGGTGGAGGAGATCTTATGATATAAACAATAACTAGTGGTAGGACCGCTTGTGAGTCCGCGCGGGTAGGTACCACCGCCCTGCCTATTTCTGCCGTGAAGCAGTGATGCGTTTCGGTTTGAAGGGTGGGCCAGCCGTTGTAACTATACTGAGATCTTAGAACTTATATCTCAAGGTGGGTGGCGCATTTACATTGTAGATGTCCATGGGCTCCAGTAACCACTAATCACCAGGTGGGCTGTGAGCACGTCCACACATCTAAGCTATAAAAAAAAAAATTGTGTAGGGTGGCCATACCCGAACCTGTAGACCGAATGGTAAACAGTCGACGTCGCCCAGAACACGTCATTACGGATCCCCCGATCCATTAACGGTGCTTTTAGGCACCACAAGCACCGGTCACCATCCTCGTCGAACCCGTCGCTTGCGACGAAGGGCTCGACGAGTGAATTAACCCATAGACACAGCCCACTGAGTTTCTCGCCGGATCTTCTCAGTGGGTCGCGTTTCCGATCCGGTGGTAGATTCTGCGAAGCACTGCTCTTGCTAGGGTCAGTGCTAGCATCACTCCGTTTTGAGCCCCGTGAGCTCACCTACTAGTTAAGGTTACGCTGAAATAGCCTCTCAAGCTCAGGTTTAAAAAAAAAGTAGGGTAGTCTTTGAACTAAAGTTTTGATTTAATTCTGTTCAAACATCAAGTCTTCTACTTGTAAAAATTCACTTATAGATCTGCACTTACTGCACGCACTAGCGTTTTGTTTTCTAAAAAAATCAAGAACATTTTTGGTGTTCCAAACGTTCCAAAAGCTAATTTTAAATAAACGCTTTCACTTGCATTTTTTTAGCGTACTTACTTAGTCCGGTAAGAAATAATCCGCGTATCGGATATATATCAAAATATTTGTAGAACGAATGAAAAATGGATCCAATTGAATAGACTACGTGTAACGATCAGTCCTGTTTTAAAAACGGAGCTTACCGCGTTAGCTCTGGGGGCTATTAGTGTGTGACGACCGACGAACTAAAGTAAATAATTTAAATTATTCTATTACGTTTGTTATGTTAATCTGGAAGGGGCGAATGCAACTAATGCGCGCAGATTAAACATGTGTACATATTTTCAATAAGTTTGTTCTAGAAAACAATTCGAGAAACATCTTTATGGGAAGATTAGTTTTATTATGGCTCAATAATAAAAGAAGCCTGCTGTTGGAAGTGCTCTAAAAATCATTCCTCCTGATGAAGTTGTCGAAAAGAACCGAGTGCACGTTTCGTTCGGACATATATGATTCTCGCAGTTTTCCCGACAGTACGGCCGATCTCTGCGGAGCAATTCAATTACAGTGAAAGATCCCTCATAAGCGAATCGTTTTTCCGAGTCATTAATTTTTTCGAACGACACAGGGCTCCGCGTGATATGGCGGGGTGGGTCCAAACGCGCGGCTATCTCGCGAGATAATGCTGACTTATGCGGGCTAGCAACGGTCGCGATTCGTCGCGGGCCGTCGCTGCGACACGCGAATGTCGCGCGATCGCATCGACGCTCGCGTCAGTTTGTTTAGCCGTTACCCGCGTCCCTAGCCAGTCCTACATTCGTGACGGTTAGTTGCCGAGATTTATGTTAATCGACCGGGCCGAGCCGGATAAGCTCGCGTGACGATATGAGACAAATTATCTCTATTGCTGCTTCCCTTTGCTGCCGTTGTACCATTGAAATTACTTTTCTCATAGTTAATACGAGATTTTCTCTTTTTTTAAATTTAAGAACTTTAGACACTCCTAACTTTTAACTTCATTGATTTATCTTACGTACCAGCACAAAAAACCTTCATATGACCTATGGTGTTCGTATTAAACAGGCTTACTTTAATATTGCAATTACAAAGTATACTCGGCACAAACATTCCAAAAATCGTTCTGGACCGATTAGTTTTCAAATAAGGGTATATTTCCCGTTGTTGTATTTTATGGTGCGTGGTAGAAAAACCGAATGCCCGAGGCGTCGTTAACTCGAGAACATTACGACGAATAAATAACTGCGGTATTAATACAGCTTTATAGTCCGTGACAGGGCTCATTGTTTTAGGCATTGCGCTTGGCCATCGCCAAAGTTTTCTGTATAGATTTTGATATTAAATAAAATTTCATCAGTAAGCATCGGTAACGAACCAATGAGTTTTATCGTCGACGTTTCGCTCTTGTTTTAGCTGTTTGTTCTGTTTTAAAAGGGCGACGTTATCAAAAGATTGGGTTTGTTAAATTTGCGACGCTCGCTCTCCTATCGGTCGTTGATTTACGATTCAATTCATAAGCAACGTCAGTTGGTAATTTATGAACATTCGTGCTGATTAACAGTGCTTAAGCCGTACATTAGCCCACTGAGTTTCTCGCCGGATCTTCTCAGTGGGTCGCGTTTCCGATCTGGTGGTAGATTCTGCGAAGCATTGCTCTTGCTAGGGTCAATGTTAGCATCACTTCGGTTTATTTATGAACATTCGAGCTGATTAACAGTACTTAAGCCGTACATTAGCTCACTGAGTTTCTCGCCGGATCTTCTCAGTGGGTCGCGTTTCCGATCCGGTGGTAGATTCTGCGAAGCATTGCTCTTGCTAGGGTCAGTGTTAGCATCACTCCGGTTTGGGCCCCGTGAGCTCACATACTAGTTAAGGTTACGCTGAAATAACCTTAAAAAAGCCGTACAATTTTGAATGTAGATTCAGGTCCTTTTCGCGCCGGTAATGACTGAGATTCGTGAGTTAAAAAGCACGGTGACCGTGCAACGTCCAATGCGGGCTCGATTGGCCATTGTTCGTCATCGCAGCGCGACCGACACGCCTCGCGCCGCTGACGTCGCCAGTGTACTACCAACCTTATCGCCACCGAAACGCATTGCCGATTATTACCTTGATCTCGAAACAACCGCCGGATTCGATTACCTACCTACCACAGAGTTTTAATTTTTCTTTACAAAAGTTAAGTGGCTATTCACTGCGCGCTATGAAAATTGAAACTCAATAACGCATGTTTAACATTAAAAGGAGCTCGGATTTACGATCGCAATCAATTAGTTGGCGTAAAGTCATATTTTAATAAGTACAACGGTAAAAGTATTGAGCAATTAGATTGCCAATAAAGGGTTGTAAATCTCATGATTTTACAGGGCCAGAAGAATATAGCTATCCAGGCGGTCTGACACATTAAACTTAATGATTGATGCATACTATCATATACATATATAGGTATAACAGAACAATTAATAGCGATTATATTTTTGTACTTTTTTGTATTGGCCTTTTAGGCAGACTTGCATACGGCCCACCTGGTGGTGAGTGGTTACTGACGCCCATGGAAGTCCGCAATGCCGGGGACAGAACTAAGCCGCTGCCTACTGATAAGTATCAGTTTCATTTACTACTAGTTTGAAATATTAGGGAAAATCTGTATAAAACTGAATACGAGTGAGTACGGAACTCGTCATACACAATTCGAGATTTATTTGATTCAATAAATAATGGAATAATAAAATTAAGAAGTATATTCGGTGATTATATCACAAGACGAATGTTCCCTTGAGATATGAATGTTTAACGCATGACTACCTCGCGGTAGGAATGGCGAAATAGAAATAACTGATGCTCACCAAACATCCTACTGTCAACATTTCTGCTTTGAAGGGTAGGTAGGACAGCAATTATGCAATATATTTCAAAACTTTGACCTCATATTTTAGAACCGATGGCAACATTCACATTGAGATGTCTGTGTGATCCACCGGATGCACAGAGTTCTTCAGGCATAAACAAACGTAAGCACTGTATTTGTATTTTGACAATATCGTCTTATCTACGAACCGCCATCATTGATTTTCCATATATACAATTCGCGATATGTGCATCAATATACGGGACAAAACAGTAGAAACTGGGGGTAGGAACTCTTGTGGGTCCGCACGGGTAGGTACCACCACCTCGCCTATTTCTGCCGTGAAGCAGTAATTCGTTTCGGTTTGAAGGGTGGGGCAGCCGTTGTAATTAAACTAAGACCTTAGAACTTATATCTCAAGATGGGTGGCGCATTTCCGCTGTGGATGTCTATGGGCTCCAGTAACCATTTAAGACCAGGTGGGCTGTGAGCTCGTCCACCCATCTAAGCAATAAAAATAAAATAAAATAAACTGTTTTTTGTGACTATTACGACTAAAAACTCATTTTATTGGCTATTACTACTAAAATCAAGTGTCACATAAAAGTAAACAGCTCACCTTCCGGTCTTCGTGATGATCATTTCAGTTCCGAGTTCGTTGAATTTGTCCCAAAGCTCCTTCGTTTCGAGGTGACATTGTATGTGGCGCATCTCCTCGCTGGACCATCGCTCAACCAGCTGCGGATTACGAGGAGGGGGTGAGACGGCTCTCGATCCGCCCGCGGTACCACTGGCAGACCCAGCCTCGGAAGTCGAAGAAACGTCCACCGGAGAATCTCTCTCGAATTCAACCAGAGGCGGTGACGGTGATCCTGATGCAGACGCTGTCGCGTCTACGAATTTCTCTGTAATAGAACAAGAACTATCGTAAATAATTCTCACTGAGATTCAGGACATAAGTATTGTTAACGCGTTATTTTTTTATAACTTTGTACCCATGTTATTAACTTATCTTCAAGCTATTTTAATTTAAAAATAAATTATCATTGTATTGAAAGAGACTTGGATTTTTGACAACAACAAAATTTAGTAAAGTTAAAACACGCTTAATAGACGCGTTAGCGGTTGTATCAACCGCAAAGCCAGAAAATGGATATAATTGGGAGACATCGTTTTATATTTACTTATTTTTTTATTTCAAATTAACACTCGCTTCATTTGATATCATATTGAGCATAATAACCGAAACATTAATAGAATTACTATCTATCATAATAGTAGATATAACTAATCATTGATTAAAACATTTATTTTTGGACGGAATACGAATTTCATTTTTAGAACATTTGCGCATTACTATTCTAAATGAATTAAACTATTTTTTAATTGAGTAACACAGATATTACTATACTATTTTTTCTTAAGATATAAAAACCACAAACAAATTATGACATGAACACACTATTCGCACCCAATTACGTGGCGTCTGCACCAATTTTTAGGTAAGTTTTTAGTTACCTCATTCTAACCATCATCACGAACCGATTTCCTATCTTCCGAGATCAAAAGAATATTTTTATAAAATCCCACACTAAATAAATATTTTCCCGCGTACATTCCGAATAATAAATGAGGTAGTTGTCAAAGAATATATTTTTAAATTCACAATTTATTTTCAACAAATACATTTTGTACAAATGTATGTCCAAACTTTGAATATATTTCGGCGTTTCATTGACTTAATTTCATTTTTAGAGAGAAGGCCTGTTCTTCAAAGTAATTTTCTTCAAACGTCATCTGTTAAAGACGGTCGGGATCATTACGACGCCCTGAACCTTAAGCACAAAGATCTCTTAATACAGATCTCAGGTGTCTTCTTTTTTCCTACCTAAGCTGATAGTCTTGAGAGGCTATTACAGCGTAACCTTAACTAGTAGGTGAGCTCACGGGGCTCAAACCGGAGTGATGCTAACACTGACCCTAGCAAGAGCAGTGCTTCGCAGAATCTACCACCGGATCGGAAACGCGACCCACTGAGAAGATCCGGCGAGAAACTCAGTGGGCTGTGTCTATGGGTGGTGTCTTTATTAGACCATTAGCGCAGACTTTTTTGTCAAGATTCCTTTTATTATTTCTCTTCTCTCTATTATTCAAACGTTCTATCATGCCTTCGACTATTAACGAAGACAATTCTTATTTAGGAACTCTAAGTTTGTGCCCATAATAACCCATTTTATTTTTACGTTTTTTTATTTCTTTTTCAACGTTTAGTCTTTCTATTCTTTTAACAACAGGTCGTAATGCGTCCAAATTCAAGACCTTGTTTACTGCACGGTATTGATAACTTTCTACACCCACATTTCAAACAATAGGTATTATATAGCAACTTGCCATTTGGTGTGGGGCTGGATGCTTAGGTGTCTGTCACAACAAATGGTCTTTAATTGAAAGAGAATCTGTTTTTGTTTGATTCTGCAATTTATTTCCAAACTACGATCACGACGATCACCAGCACTTAGATTTTTGGATTCTTTCTAGCCTTAAGCATCCATTCCATTCAATAATTTCGGACTTACGGTATATATATAATATAATATAGCTATAATAGCTTTTTACACTATTCAAAAGCTCTTACAGATCCCAAAGTGAAGGTAATTAATATTGTATGATCAGCATATCGGGTGTAGTTAATTCTATGTCGAGCGGAAGTACAAATACACTTGCTGATTTCTTAAAGCATCTATTTCCTGAAATCGTTTTGAGAGATAAACTATTGGAGATTACAAATATTTATTAAATCTAATTTGATAGAAAGTATCAGTGATGAACAGAATACATATTGTCCTGAAATATAGCAGTGTTTTTTGGTTCGTTAAGTTCCGTCGGTTAATTTGATAGACATGCTGTTTATATTTGAACAACGATGAATACAGAAATAGTATTTTTTTTAATTATCTATTACGATATCAACGAACCATTTTATATTTATTTATTTTTAATTTGCGTAAACGGGTATAACCCATGGTATTAGGAAATTACCAATCAACAAACAATCACATCATAAAGGCCACTAGTCGCCACCTACCTTGCAGGTAGCTTTTTTTTTTATTGCCCTTGTAGGCAGACGAGCATACGGCCCACCTGATGGTGAGTGGTTACCGTCGCCCATGGACTTCAGCAATGCCAGGGGCAGAGCCAAGCCGCTGCCTACCGCAAAACGTACCGCTACCTACCGTAGCTTGAAGCGACACGCGAGTTTGAAATCTGAATTGCATTGTACCTAACAGTAGCTATTGGAGCCTTAAAACTTAGAACGAAAAATGATATTTTCTCGCTTAAAGGGAATAATGTCTTATCGTGCGTGCTCACAACAGGGTATCTTTGATATCACTTGGACTCTTAGTAAAAAACGTTTCAATCTAATTACATATAATCAATTTAGAATTACGTAGAGATTAAACGAAAGTAGATGAAAAATGCTAGTAGTAGAAGACTGAAATGATCTGCCTTATTCAGATTAGAGACCAAATTACTTGTAAGAAACTCTCACTGACCGATTCGGAACAATACAATTTGAAATTTGTAGAATTGTAAGATTCTTTCTACAAAGAGACGTTAAAAATCAAACAAAACAAATAATACAGATAATATCTAAACATCACAATAAATAATTCAAAAAACTGGTTTTACTGCAATAATTTGATTGATATTTTGAATTTGATGACCAAATAATTGAAATAATTTGATTGATTGATATGATAACCAAAACCATGAGATCTAGAAAATCACAATAAAAGTGCCTTCGAAATTATCTTCAGACACCATCTTTTCAATGCTTCTCTATAAATATTTTTATAAATAATTTTATTGCTATTAAACATATATTTATTTACTAGCTGACCCGGCAGACTTCGTAGTGCCTCAATCGATAAATAAAAGACATCAAGGGAACACATCAAAGGAAAAACAAAATTGTTTGTTTTTATATAATTCCAAGCTTTTTTATATTTTCTCACCTTTTAAACCTTCCCTGGACTTCCACGAATAATTCAAGACCAAAATTAGCCAAATCGGTCCAGCCGTTCTCGAGTTTTAGCAAGACTAACGAACAGCAATTCATTTTTATATATATAGATAGATAGATAGATTTTCTAAGACTCGGTATTAAATGTAAGGCTTATAAAAATTAGTTCAATATATTTCATTAAATTGTCTTGATATTTGATCTTCACTCTCAATTAACGTGAAACGTAAAAAAGGTGAAACACGCTATACGTATTTCACAAATATGTTTACTTAAATCATAAATTAATTAAGAAATTTAATCGAATACAATTTTTTTTAAGCTGCCGTGCAAGAATCCTAATGGTGACAACAGATTAAAAAATACAATCTTGTTTCTTGAACAAGTTAATTAAAAGAATGTAAAGATAAAAGTGGTTTAATAACAAAATAATAATTTTAATGTGTATTTTTTTGTTTTTGTGCTAAATTTAATGATGATTTATAGAAGACTTTAAAACATTAATGTAACACATAATTCGTTATATATAATACTTTGAAAATTTTCTTCAAAAATTTAATGGGCAGGTATTATATTTTACGCATTATTTTATGTAAATTAAAAACTCAGAATTTTCATTAGTTCTAATTAATTGTACTTGGATGATTTATTTGTATTATTTAATTAGTCGAATATTTATGTACCCATTAAAGGGGTAGTGACTTGCGATTCACAAAATAATTAACAGTTTTTATTCTTCATTAAAGTGATTTTGAATACGATCAATAAATAAATATGAATGAATAGTACATTACTAAAAAGATTTAAATGACCATAGTACCTACTTAATAAATTATTAGAAATATAATCATTTTAAGACTTATGTCGTTTAATGTTTTTGTAATATGAATATGATTGCGTTGAAATGTATGTATGTAAAAGTTATACCTAGTGGAGTAAGAGTATCTTCTCGAGGATCTCTATGTCTCCGCCTCTCTCTTCGCTCTTGTCTATCTCTTGCCATTATGGCTGCGATGGAGAAGTCTGTAGCACAGGGGCGCGCGGAGCAGTCTTCCTCCATGGCGTGCCCCTGCCGATCTCGACCCTCGCCTTGTAGCAGCATCAAGTTAGTCCCCTCTGAGCCCAGTCCGCCGTTCGGAGTCCACAACTTGTCACCTTCCGAACATCCCATCGGTGGAGTAGACCATAATCGTTCCAACTTTACAAATAAATAAATAAACCTTTTTAAACTGAAATGTCTCAATTACACTTTAGTTTTTTTTTTTTTTATCTCGAATAAAACAAAAAGTCTTGAAACAAGTATACGAAATGAGTTTTATCGTTTTAAGCAAATAGTTAAATCTCTCTTCTAAAACACTTTCTTCGTTTTAAAATCGTAACACAAAACGTGAACAGTTTGACATAATACAAGCGTAGGCTTTGATATTAATTGTTTACGATGCGTTTAGGAATGTAGTGGGCCTGTTCGTAAGTTACGAAGTGCGAGAAGAAACTTTTTACGCGCGCTATTTACGCGTCCGCGGCTAGAGCGGACCGGTGCGGCTTGGAGCGCTGTCGACTCGACTGAGGCGGCGGCGAGGCGGCCGGCGGCCCGCCACAGGGAGGGGCCTGCATCACCGCCCAAGCCACCACACTCCGACCACGCACACACCATCACTTTTTATTACTTCTTTCTTGTGAATTCCGTCCCGCTCCCGCCGGGCTCGCCGCTCGCGCCCGTCCCTATCGCGAGTTTTTCTCCGCGCGATAACTATTGAAATTCGCTAAACGACTCACCGCGGCGCAGAAAAGGCCCTCTCGTTAAACGGTGAGCCGATCGTATCGAAGTATTTATTCGCTTTAGTCGAAGCACTGATGCTCCGATCGCTGTTTATGCACTGTGAGAACTTGCCGCCGCCGATGGGGCCGTTTCCGATCCGATTACTTACATGGGTTTCGTGGTTATTATACCATGAATAAATAAATAAGTTAAGTGCACGATGCAAATGGCTCTGACGTCGATACGCGTTCGCTTCAGGGCTAAATATTAACTGCTTAATGCTGGATACGATAGCTTGAGAATGTAGTTTATCTTTTTTACCATCTTACGCATGAACTTTTACTGAATAAAATCACTATTTAAGTAAACGAATGCTATTTACCTTTAAAGGTTAATAATATGAGTATTCTTAAAAGGCACGTATGAAATGAGAAAATTTATAATTATCGTCACAATAACATTCACACGTAAGCTCTTATATAAAAAAAACATAGCAACTAGCGTGTTGTATCGATGGAAAAATTAAACTTAGTATTTCGGAAGGATATAAATATTTTACGCTATGTTCACCAACTCAACACAAATTAATCCACCAGCCAAGGAGTCAGTGCTTCTAATCACAAATTGCCTCCGCATTTATAGCGCTAGATCAAATTTGCGGAAAATTAATAAACGCACGTTCTTTCGTTTGCATGTATTTATTATAATTTATTAAGTGCCAGGAGCTCAAACTAACCATGTCGTTTGGCAGTAAAGCTTATCGACGGTAAGTCGGTAATGGCCGCACAAATGGCCGCCGATACGTGAATTGTGACGAATCGCATTAATTATTTTGTTGATTTCCGTCGAGGGTGAGCTGAACAATGCAAACATAATTTTCTTTTAATAAATAGAAGTTTTATTCTGTTTAAATATCATTTTAAGCGGAAACAAAATGTATGTGGTTATTTTTGTATGCATTTCTTCAATGTTCAACGTTTTTGAAATATTATTCTGTTGAATAGACAAACAAAAGTAAATTTTGGAAAAAAACACTAAAACTGAATAATAAGATTGACAAATTGCATAACTAATCCATGTAATAATTATTTTAATTGAATTACACGATTCTTTAAATTTTATCGACCCTTCCAAAAGACCAAAACGACTTCTAAAATTACAGTTTTGTTTTTAGAAATGCAACCCTACATTACGTAACGTTTCAATTCATTTTACTTTACTGTTTACATATTCACTGAACGTGTAATTACCTATTATAAACATAGGTACACGATTTAATAGAAATTCTAAAATTTCATTATTGTAATATTAATATTTGATTAATAAATTAATGGAAATCAATTGAATAATTGATTTATTAAAATAAATTAACTTTACATATAAAAACCCAAACTGAACAATTTACCAGTCAACTGAAAAACATTAACTTATTTATTTTTTCTTACTTTTATGGGCAGACGATTATACGATCAATTTGACGGTAAACAGTTACTGTCTTTCATACCAAACAGCCAAGCCGTTGCTTACTAACTTACTATTTCTAAATAACCTAATATTTCTACATTAGTGATACATCACTGACCCTATTGATAAGTAGGTACCTTTATTTAAAGCAATATTTTTGTCGCTCACTTTTTTTTTTAACAGATATTGAATCTTTGAAGTTTTTTTTATTCAAACCTCTTAGGGATCTCAGGAGTTGCTGTTCGCTCAGAAATCTTTTCCGCTTCAAGAAGACGGTTGAACTAATTCAATGGCTTTGGCATTGTCAATACTGCTCAAGTAGCCTTAACTGCTAAAAGACAGCTGCTTCGCGAATGCTAATACCACCGGATCGAAATCGCAACCTTCTTTATATCCGACGAGAAACTGAATGAGCTGACGTTAAAAAAAAGTCCTCGTTGAACACGATGACCTACGCTTTTCCTAGCGCGGTAACTAGGACGTTTATTGTCGCATGACCATCGTGATTCTGACTCATATATTTAAAGACGGGTTCGCAATCTAAATTGTAGTGAAGTTCTACATTCTTCATTAATCTAGTTTAGTTTTTTTTTTTTTATGATTGAAAGATTACTGGTGGCCCGGAGGCTTTTTCAGTTTCACCAGGACAGGTGGGCGAGCAAAGGCTCAGCCAGAAGGGGTGGGATTTGCTAACAACTGCCCGAGCGCCTCCGAAGGATACCTAACAACTCAAGAGCAACTGCTTCGCGAATGAATTTACTACCGGATCGGGATTGCGACCCGCTGAGAAGATCCGGCGAGAAACTCAGCGAGCTGATGCATGGGTTAGGTTGCACGTCGACCTCTTTGTCGAGTTTGACGAGTCGGGGTTCCTAAGCCTGCTCCTAGTGTTAGAGTTGCAAGCGTCTAATGCAAAGGTTATTGGATCTAATGGATCTGTAAAGACGTGTGTTTAGATAGTCCGAACATATCGTTATATCTCAGATTCGGTATATCTACACGTTCTAATTCAATTACATTGACTCCGTGTAGCACTGAATCTAGACAGACCAGAAACGAATAAGAACTTTTTCTCTCCTGTTAATTTTGATATAATAATTCAAACGTCCATTATTAACCAATATATTCATACATAGGTATTCATTCATATTAAATACCTATATACTCATTCGATTATCTTCACGCAACTCAGTTTTTCATGAATTTTCTAATTTTATTACTATCGGACTTCAAATTCAAATTCAAATTCAAAAGTCATTTTATTTTACGTATTTGTTCATTTTTATAGATGCCACTGATTATGATTTCAGAAAATGCGGCCAAAGACGTACATAACAACAGTAAGCAGAAGAAGCCTGCTATGTGTCACTTGCTTCTTTAGTATTCTCATCTACTAGGCTACTTAAATATATCATCATCATCAACCTGTTGCAGTCCACTGCTGGACATGGTTGCTTCAATTGCACGCCATTGAGCACGATCCTCGGCTTCTCTCATGCAGGGCTTGCCATCCCCTGCATATATCGTTTTTAACCCATAGAAACAGTACACTGAGTTTCTCACCGGATCTTCTCAGTGGGCCGCGTTTCCAATCCGGTGGTAGATTCAGCGAAGCACTGCTCTTGCTAGGGTCAGTCTTAGCAACACTCCGGTTTGAGCCCCGAGAGCTCACCTACACGCGTTAGGGCGAAGATGAAATAGCCTCTCAAGGCTATCAGCATAGGTAGGAAGAAAAAAAAAGCATAGATCGCCACTCCACTGAGCCTGAGAAAGTCCTGCACTACGTTCGCCAATTCACGGTCTCCACTAAAGAACATGTTTGCCCCTAGGCTTATAATTTGTCCGGCCAATATGGCCTGCTCATTGCCACATAAATGTTTAATTATTTACTTGTAATTATACTTAAATTATGAACGCAAGGTCTTGTAATCTTGCCTTAGCCTGTCACGAAGCAAACTCGGAAGTAAATTTCAAGTTGAAAATAGTGCTGTCGTATCATAAGTTCGTCTGTTCATGGCAAGGTCCGAAAGAATAATTTCCTCAACACGCATTTCATAGTTTTAGATAAAAAATAAATTTCCTATTGTAATGAATAACAAATATACAACAGCGGTCGTTTCTCAGCGCTTTCGGATGATAACACGATTTTATTGAGTGATCTTTTAACAAGCCATTTATTTGTCTATACTGTAAAGTTGGTTATTAAATATTTATTTCATTATTATTATTATATATGTAGTTCATTAATATTAGAAAATCGCATTTGAGTTTTGTAATGAATCCCGCCAATAATTTTAAAGATGTAACTTACAATTGCTACAAAAGAATCATAATAACGACGCCGGTTAAAATTTTCGAAATGAATTTTACTCGCGTTAACTACATACAAACAATCCATTAACATGTCATAACAGCAATTCCAGATTCACGTCGCGAAATTCGACTCGAAACTTGTCAGGCAAAGTTTCAGTTTTTCTTTACCGAAATCAACCAACGAATTGTGATTAAAATTTAAAAGTAATAACAAGTCGTGTGAACGCACTCGTCCACCGACCGGAGGGGGAATTACGCCCCTTAGAGGCGGGACAAAGATGTCGTAAATGAATACCAACTCTAACTCCGTAGCGTAAGGATCAGTATTCGTTTGCTCTTGTCGGTGCATTGAATGCAAGTTGACGTGGGAGTGAGGTTATTCTCGCTAAGTACTGTCCGAGCAGAGTGAGCTTTTTTTTTCATTTCTACGTTACTTTTTTTTTTAGGATTGCGTCGACAGAATTTTATTAGAAGCTGATTTGAGTGATTAATTATGTTTTTAAAATGCTCGTTTACAAATTCAAAACCAACTGGTGGTTTTTACTGGTGGTAGGACATCTTGCGAGTCCGTGTAGGTAGGTACCACCACCCTGCCTATTTCTGCCGTGAAGCAATCTTAGCAAGCAGAAGCAGAAGCAGAACTTATATCTTAAGGTGGGTGGCGCATTTAAGTTGTAGATGTCTATGAGCTCCAGTAACTACTTAACACCAGGTGGGATGTGAGCTCGTCCAATCATCTAAGCAATAAAAAAAAATATTTCAATTTTGATGTAATTGAACTCTCAGTTATAATAATTATCTATACTAATATTATAAAGAGGAAAGATTTGTTTGTTTGTTTGTATTGAATAGGCTCCGAAAGTACTGAACCGAATTGAAAAATTCTTTCACTGTTTGGAAGCTACACTATTCCCGAGTGATACAGGCCATAATCTTTTTTGAAAAAAATTTGAGATCCTTACCAAAACTCTTATAATGTAACCCAAGGTGTAAAAAAATTACCTAAAATGTACTTTACATCGCGACAGCATAATAATATGTCTAGCTATTATAGTTATGCCGCAATAAGTGTTCTTTGATTTAAAAAAAATAAAACAA